CCGAAAAAGGAAAGGAGAGACGAATCCCCTGGGAACCGATGCAGGCAGATCTGTTCCTTGTCTGGGAAGCTTCGCTCCGGACGTATGCTCTAAGCACGTTCATAAAGTTATTTTTCTCCTAAGGCGTAACGTAAGGATATACTTTTGGACTGCCTGCAATTACTTTGCAGCTTAATGAGGCGAGACGAGGTAAAACCGATCTCATAAGGTTCTGTTGTGCAAGGAATAGAAATCCCAGTTGGATGGAGCCAATTCTGGTGTACCATCCCTCCTCCCCCTTTCTTGTGCTTCTAATGGTGATGACAGGTTTTGTTTTATTTTTCCAAATCCACTAGCTGCCTAATAAGATGGGCAGACCTTCGTTCCCTCTCCATCTCTCTCCTAGCCTGAAGCTTCATAGAGAGACAACGTTAGTGGTGCTGTAGGTACCTGGACAGCCTGAGGGCTGCTCTGTTCTTCCAGAGACTGCAGCTTCAGCACAGGAAGCTTTGCTGGAGGGTAGAGGACAGACCAGCAAGACTCTGATTGTGGCAAATGTGAAAAACTGTAGAGGTTTGTATTGTCAGACTGTGTTGATGCTGTTCTGATCAAGAAAAGCTTCAGTACAAGAAATTCACACTTCAGTACTTTTGTGAGAAGAATCTGTTATGGACTGCAGTAATTCATGGGAATGAATTTTGCATGAGAATTTCATCTCCAGAGGCTACTGTGAGTCTAAAGCATTTAACTGGAGCAATTACCCAAGTGTGCCCAGAAACCCTCTGGTTCACAGGGTGTTATTAACCTCTCACAGATATGAATATCAGCTGCACAGAATATGTGAAACAGCTAACATTCACAAGGCATATGCAGATCTGCTGTGTGGGCTACTGAGTGTACCAGGCATAGGATGCAAAGCTGAAAAGAGAACTTTCACCTCTAGACAGGGTTTCAATCCAGACCTACATTTCAATTTTACCACAATTCAGGAGCAGAAATCAGTTAGGCCTAATGAGGATAAGTTCAGCTGTTAAGTCTCAAATTCTAGAACATGCAGATATCTTAAAATTGCCTCTTGCTTGAATCGCCTTAAAACCAACACAAATCAGCCTCAGATCCCAGCACTGAGCTGTAAGCAACAAAGACCCTGACCCTTCTTGCATATGTGCAGTAACAACTATTTTCATTTCAGAGGTATTTTTCTGACAGAGTTCATCGGGCACAACCTTTGCAGCCAAAGTTGCGGGAAGAGCAACAGCAGAAGACTGTCCTGTTTGTACCACGATGGTTTTCATTAAAGGAGACAGATTTTAGGCGTGCGTAAGCAACACTTCAGCCTCCCATTTCACGTCTGGACCGTTTTTGGCTTTGCCAGTAGGTGGCAGAGGCCGATCAGCGCTCTGCACCCCTGCGGTGGGAAACACGCATGGAAGAGGATACCGTATTTCCTGTCAAGAGGACTGGCGTGGATGAGGTTTAAAACGAGAGGAGAGTGCAAGCAGCCTGTGCATTCATGTGTAGACTGGAAGAGAAGGGAAGGGCGAACTCTCTATTTCAATCCATTCTTTGTTTTCCCAAGGTTAAGCCCTGATTACCGAAATAATCTTATCAGCTGAAACCGTTTCAACAGAACTGGGCCCTTAAAATCCAGATGCGAGCGCTTTGAAATATGGTAGAAGTTAGGCCATTGCATGCTTTGGTTATATGTAAGCATGGCTAAATAGGTTTGGGAGGGGGAAGAATTTTGAAAAACCTAGGCATCTGGATTGTTATTTGTGTTGCTGCGTAATTTACTGGAGTGCAACTGATCCTTCTCAGAAGCAGTCGGGCACTGTAAACAGAGCCTGACCTGAGTTACACCAGAATATCTGTAATGACTGCAGCAAAGCTGTCCTGGATGTTTACCAGTACAGGGGGGGTTCACAGTCTTATTCAATGGCTCTGATCTTCATATGCATGTCACTTTCTACTGCTGAGAGGCAGTTGATATTGGATTCTTTTTTATGTATAACAAAGTCTCTGAGTGAAGGACACAGTGGAAAATAATAGTGGTGACATCTCTATGACAATAAAGTGTTTCTTTTGACAATTTAGACTTTCTAAGAATAAATGCTTTCAGGAATAAAGAATGTTGCTATTTTTCCATGTGACACAAGAAAGGGTTTTGACCTAGGGCAAAAAGAGAGAGCTTCAGTATCACTTAGAGAGTACTCAGATGGTTGTCTAAGAGTAGCCACAAGGTCTACATGCTGTTTGCATTAATTGTCCGATACTTCAAGGGAGTTTGCTAAAGAAAGAAGTGTCACGTACAGCTCTTTAAATAAACAAAACAAAAGTAGCACAGATCTCTGAATAATTAGGTAGTCCCCAGCTGCTGCTCACGTGACAGAGTAACAACTGGAGGCTCAATTAAATTTCTTAATTAGAATTTAGCACAAAGTTACTCAGATTTTATGAGCATGTAAGCTGCATTGCCAAGAGCCACACATTTTATTTAAGAGGACATATAAATGTGGTGAGTACAACCTATTAAAGAAGCACAAGTGACTTCAAAAGAAGTAACTAAATGGCACCTCAAAGAGATGGTAGGGTACATTTGATATTTTAACCTTATGCCATTCAAATAATGGAAATCTTGAGTTTAAAGTGCAGTTCGGATAAGTCCTGATCCTGTAGAGCTATGAACAGTCTTCACTAATGAGTGGAAAGGGCAAAATTCTTTGCAATTTTCATCTTATCGTATGCTCAGTTGTTCACCACCATGCAAACTTTCTCTGTGTTCCCAGCAAACCATTACTGTAAACCAGTCACTTTTAGAAAGTTAAACCCAGTTAAACCTTTTTATTAGTTTGCTGGCAACCTTCCTTTTGCACCTTCCTCATGTCAAAAACAATACCTAGTAAGGAAAAAGAACATTTCAAGCCTTCACTGACAGGTTTTCCAGCTGACAATCTTTCTCATACAGCCTAGCGACATGCACTATGTCATCACTGAAAAGACACTGGGCTGGATTGTGAAGCCTGCTCCTTGTGAAAGCTATAAAGTTCATTGCCAGATAACAAGACTGAAAGCTAATTCAGGAACTGTTTCTCAAGAGCTATCCTCTGGCCTCCCTCATCTGAGTGAATGCACTCACTCACTGAAGCATCTCTTGGCAGAGACTTTGGCCTCTCTCCAGCTGTTTCTCTCTTCTTGGGGATTTTCTTACTCAGTCACTTGTTGTGGTCTTTAAGCCTGGTTATCTTGTACACAGATCCCCACTGAGAAGAGAAGCTTTCCCACCATGGAACAGCCAAATAAAAACACATTCATAAAAATAATAATTAGAAGGTCCAGTCCTCCCTATGAAATTATCTTTTTGGAGGGATTTGGAAGCACAGATATTTTCTTTAGTACCACGTAACACTAAAATAGTTAAAGCTGAATTTACCTGATGTATTTAAGTAGGACTGTTGACTAAGTTTACTTACTCCCTTGATGTGTGTCAAGGGCATGTGTCCTTTGAAATAATTTTATGAGGGTTTTTGTGCTCCAAATAGATGCTATCTAGCATTGCAGATACCATCTGCAGTGACTAAATTCAAAGCTGCAGACTCCAACGCTCCAGCAGGAGAGAAGTAATGGCCATGAGGGGAAAATCCTCATCCTAAAATGAAAGCAGAGAGAACCTGAATGAAATATTTGCCCTGTGGGATTAATCACATCTAGAGAACCGAGATACAAGGTATAGTCAAACCCCTCCTGCATAAATCATATACCTCATGCTAGAGAATTCTTTTGATATGCACAGCGTGGCTCTTGATGAGCTGTTTGGCTGATGCTTTTCCATGGAAGACAGATTTTAAAGGATTGTTGCTATTCATATCCTTTCTGTATTAATGATGGCAACTGCATAGCTTTGCTCATTAAATATATTTATGCCCACTATTTCAAGATTAACATATAACCATGTTAACGCAGGGCAGCACCATTCAACATTTGCTTCTTTTGTAAGTTTCTCCATTTCAGAAGCCTTGCAAAAAGACTTTACCTTTTATTTCCTATACTGAAGTTTTTCTGAAGTACTTTGAAATTGCTTGCTCACCTCTGACACAGCACTACCAAGACAAAAATATTATGAAAACAGGATGTCTTGATTTAGCAACCATATTGTTCAGATCTGCTCAGAGCATGACAGGAG